CACTTGGCACATTACCTGCATCATGGTCATCACTGATGTGTATTAGATACCTACATCTAGATACCTACGTCTAATCTCCTCTTGGTCAGTGTCCACACCTTGGGAATCAAATGTCAGACCAAACCACCCAGAAAGCATAAGCAATGGATGGAGTATCCCCTGAACCAGATGCTCGGGGGACCCAGAGGAGGTTCCACATCACAGCAGGGGCTCCAAGTCAATGAGTCACATTCATTGATGGTCCCAGACCTTAGGAGCCTCAGAGAGGACATGATCCACCCTCCCACACTTGACAGCTTGCTTCCCAACCATGGCCCCACCACCATGGAAATGACTCACCTGCTCTGTGATGTGGTCCTCATCCACAAAGTAGGCATAGGAAGAGCACAGACTTCACATGGCTGGGGCCTTGAGGACCCAATTAAACAATGCCAGTAAAGATTTAAAATCACCCCAATATACCACCATTCACTCTTAAAAATGGTTAAGACTAATAATGCCAAAGGTTGCATGGCTGCAAAACAACTGCATCTTTCACACATGGCTGGTGGGGATGCAAAAAGGTACAACTACTTGGGAAAATAGTTTAGCATGTTCTCATTAAGATAAACATACACTATCATGTGACCCAACAATTCTGCTCCTTGGTATCTACCCAAAAGATTAGTATACATGTTTATAATAGAGATAGATAGATAGATGATAGATAGATAGATAGATAGATAGATAGATAGATAGATAGATATAGATATAAACAATTCAAATATTCATCACTGTGAGAATGAATAAAGAAGCTGGGGAATCAGTCACTCACAGGATGGATTCATTCACATGATGGAACACTGTCTAACAATACAAAGGAATGGATCACAGATGCATACGACAATGTGGGTGAATCTCCCAGGCACTGGCTAAATGAGAGAGGCTAAATGTACAAGAAAGCAAAGGTATGAGTTTATCTATTGGAAGTTCTAGAAGAAAAACTAATTTTTGGGACACCTGGCTGGCTCAGCAGTTGAGTGTCTGCCTTCAGCTCAGGGCATGATCCCGAGGTCTGGGATCAAGTCCCATGTCATGGAGCCTGCTTCTCCCTCTGTCTGTGTCTCTGCCTCTCTCTCTCTCTGTGTGTGTGTCTTTCATAAATAAATAAATAAATAAATAAATAAATAAATAAATAAATAAATAAAACTAATTTATGATGAAACAATACAGAATAGTGGTTGCCTGTAGTTCCAGGCAGAAGGGAGGTGATAGAACAATATGGGACCAGCAGGGACTTTGTGGGGTGTGGCAGTGCTGTGTGTCTTCACTGGATTGTTTCAGGAATGTACACATTTGTCAAAACTCACCAACCTGTGTACTTAAGATCTTGAGGATCTTAAATGCCCAATTATACCTCAATAAAAAAAAAATAGTGGCCCTGGTACACGGCAAGCAGTCCGTAACTACATTATTGTCATTAATGATGACTGCTCTACCTCCACCAACTCACAGGGCATCGACATTTGCAGGACCCTTGGAAAGCTCCAGCCAGGTGTCCCCAACCATTTCCGTACCGTGGACCTTTGGACAGGTACGTGATGCGTAGAGCCCTTTCTCAGAATATAGTTTTGCCTGCAGGAAATAAAATACATATGACGACAAAGGAACCCAATTATTTTGAAAGTTATCAAATATTAAAAACGGATTTGTGATCCAGAAGTGCATGTGCTCCTTTATTAATGCATTAAATAACAAGCCCTACCAGAGGGTCTAATAACTATCATAATTTCAAAGTAGCGAGGGGTATAAATGGCATTTTGAAATTTCCTACAACTGCAATGGAAAATGAAAATATCTGGGATTCCTCTTGCTAACAAAGTCACAGGCACTGCGAATCTTATGCCTCCACGATACCACCTCCGACTGACAAAGGGGCTCCATCTCCGTTAGAGGGTAGTGAAAATAGAAGCACGAGGCTATGTTCTCGACTGGGTTCAAAGACCTGGTCACAGCCCCTTGCCTCCCTGGTGTGACCCTGCCCTAGTCCAACACCCTATGCACGGGGATGGGGAGCGGGAAGATGGGGACCACAAAGGGAGTTGTTACCCCCATGCTACCCGCTCAGAACCGGGTGTCCTGCGTCCTGACTTCCAGGACAGCCCTTTGTCCTAGAGAGATAAAATACGGAAAGATTTACCCCAGAACCTGGCATGGCAGTGTCTCCCCATTAAACACAAGGGTGGCATGATTCGTTGGTGCTGAGGCTGGCAGAGGCAGGGATGCAAATGCTCGCACATGCACACAAGCGTACACATACACACACATACACACACACACACGTGCACTAGCTCTCACTCAGTACCCTCTGGCCTTGCCTGATTCAGCAGTGCAGGGCTCAGCCCGGGGAGCTCCCTGGACCACAGCCCCTGCCAGGCCCAGGCCCAGAGCGTGGACGACCCTCCACTGCAGCAGCGGCCAGCAGGCCCCGTCCAGCCCAGACTGGCAGGCTGGCAGTCAGCGGGCGCCCACCGAGCACGGGGCCTCTGCCCGCATTAACTCCCTGCTGGGATAATTCTTCTCCAGCCTTTTTTTTCCGGCCACCAAGTGGGCCTGCCACCACACTGCTGTTTTTCATCTTGTTAATTGAGTCATTTATTTCGTTAAAAGGTGAAACTTTATCAGGGTTTATGCGCCAAGTGTGAGAAGGTGTATTTAATGATACATCAAATGGCCGCACCCTCAGTGCCTCTATATTTAGAGATGGTACAGCAAGGGGGGGAGGGGCCGGGGGAGGCAGGAGGCAGCCGATCCTACAAGATTAAATTATGCTGATTTTAAAAATAGCCACAAGTGAGGTGGGCAACGGTTGGCTTCCAGGAGTGCTCAGAAATGTGCACAGTGGCCAGGAGCTTGAGAGTTGTCCCCAAAGCATCCTGGGGGCTGGGGCCTGAACCTGGGGCATCTCCCTCTGCTCCTGACTCCCTGCACCCAGTACCCAGTGTCCAGCACTGCTCAGGTGACAGATTGGTGGGTCATACCCACTCTGTTCCTGACACTGTCCCTTCCTGACCCCCAGGACTCTCCCACCTCCATCCTGACAGCCAGCACTCGTCCTGCACCAGGGGTCCCCAGAAGAGCTCAGCTGGCCCTTCCCCCACCAAGAGCTTCAGTGTCCTTCTTCCCCAAATACCTGTGGGTAAAGTCTAAGCCCCCAGGGCCTGTGTCCAGAGCCTTCTTGACCCCGGCTGTGACCGTCCAGCCCCAATGTCCACCAGCCCCACGCTCTGGGCCTGCATCCAGGCCAGGCTCTGTGCTCTGCCTTAAAACTCCATCCTCTCCATCCTCCCCATCCTCCTCATCCTAAGGCTGTACATCTCAACCCACAGAATCACTCAGGGAACTTTTAAAAACACCAATGCCTCAATCCTACCCAAGACCAGCTGAATCAGGCTTGTAGGGCTCTGGGTCCCCAGGTGACTCTATGTGCAGCCAGGGCTGAGAACCAACGCTTCACATCCTATTCACCTCTTCAAGACCAGATGTCCTGCTAGCAGCCTCTGTCCCCAGGTCTCTTGCCACCTGAGAGGGAGTGAGACCCCTCCCCTGCACCCCAGCTCTCTCAACTCAAATGATATGGTCATCATAGGGCTTCCTGTGTGGGGCACTCTTGAGGGCTGGGGTGGACTCGCCCAGAGCCTGGCCAGGGAAGGTGCTCAGGTGGCAGTCTACATGATACATGGGACACAACCCACAGTCTCACAGTGATGTGCCACCGAGGACAGCTCCCATCCAAGATGCCACGTCAGGGAGACCAGAGCTCTGGACCTGCCCTGGACAGGAGGAGGGGACAGGATGAGTGACCATATGGGGGCTAGGAGTAGCCAGCCAGCCAGGGCAATGGGGGAACTCCTTGTAGATTGACAGGAAATTGCAAGACAAGGTTGAAAAGACCAAGACCCCAGAGTACACCCAACCCTGCACATCCCAGCTGGATGACCTTGGCTGGCTCATTCAACCTTTCCGAGTCTGTTCTTTACCCATAAAGTGGGAATGGTAGGCCCCTAATCCCAGGGGGTGGGGGCGGGGAGACTTTGCAGCAGGATCTATGTGTCCTGTGAGCACAAAGCCGGGCAGGTTGTAGCTTCAGAGATGATAATGTCCTTGTGATACCAGCCCTCCTCTATGGGCTCTGCTCCTTCTTTCTTCTTTAGATGACCTTACAGAGGCTCAGGCCACCAGCCGGCTGCAGGTGGGCAGCAGCCCACAACGGACATGCAAAGAACGTCCAGGAGACTGATACACTTCCCTGTCATTCTGCCCTGAAGTTTTTCTCTAGAAAGCACAAGACAACTGCTGGACTGTAGGCCCAGATCCCGGTCTGATCAGAAGGTTTCTCCTTAATTCCATCCCAACACACGTTGATTAAGCACCAGCTGTGTGCCAGAGCCCATGCAAGGGGGCCAGGAGGCTGCAAGGAGCACGTGTCTTTTAGTGGCTGATGCTGGCAGTCTGTCTCGTGGATGAGAACCAGCACCCGGGCCCCACTCCGGAGCCCAGCACACCTGCACACAGTGAACACGCGGTCCCCAGGCTCCCAACACGGTGGAGACGAGACACATCAGACACAGAGTCTCCCCTCAGCATGAAAACCTGAAGGCCAAAGACACATTGGCAATGATATCAACAAGCGCGCTACCTTTTCCACACGCCAGCCATATGGATCATGGGAGTCTTCAAAGAACATGTCCACACTCCCCTGTCTCTCGTGTGTGTGTCTTGCTGATTTCCAAAATGTTCATGGACAATGTGGACTTTACTTACAAAGGGACCCCTAGAACTACGCCCAGGGCCAGTCGCAAGCAGGACTGGCCATGGGCGACCACAACTACACTTAGCCAGGCATCGTGTGTACAGGCCTGTTCGTCTTGCCTGGACCTGACCCAGGAGGGGTGTCTGTGTCCACGTGAAAGCCACACCGAATAGCAAGCAAACCCCATGAGTTAGAGGGTCTTACTTACCCTAATGTCTGCTCTATACCCTTGGCTGCCCTGCAGAGCCATCAACAGGATCCCAGTTTCCTGCTGGTTCTACCCTGGAAGCACCTGTAAAGTAACGGAGGCAAGAGGTCTAGGAAGGTGGGTACCCATTCCTCCAACAACTGCCCTGTTGGATCACCACCAGTTGGCTGCACCCTGTCTGGAAAAGGCCACAGATTCCTCTCCTTCAGCTGCTCCCTCCAGGTAGAGGGGTGGCCCCCTCCGACCTTCAGACCCTGGGGCTAGTGGCTTCCTGCTGACACTAGCCGCAGGACACTGGCCCATCCTTGCAACAGTTCCAGGAGCCCTTTATCAAACTATCCTGTCATTAGCTCAAATGAGCCACTTGTTTCCTGCCACCCTCACTTTCCAATCAAAGGATTCTGTAACCCATCCTCCCAGCCATCCTCCCGTGGCAGGAGGTACCTGCTGGGTACCAGGACTGACCTTGTGCAGCCCACAATTATACTCTCAGTGCTGTCAGAATGATTCATAAAATCATCACCAGTTTATTCTCCACTCCCTCCCACCACAAGACACACACACACACACACACACACACTCATACACTTACTCACACTCACACATCCTGCTGAAGTTTGATCAATGGAGCCACACCTCTCTGTACACCCCACTCTGCCTACCCCATACAGCCTCACCTCCTAGATGGTGCAACACACTGTTGGGGGGGGAGGGACAGGTCTAGAATAGGGGGCTTCCCCCACCCCCTACAGACTGTGATGGTTAATTTTATGTGTGTGTCTCTTTGGTTGGGCCACACGATGCCCATATAGCTGGTAAAAAAACTGTTTCTGGGTGTGTCTGTGAGGATGTTTCTGGAAGATATTAACAATGGAATCCATAGACAGTAAAGAAGATGGCCTTCCTCAATGTGGGTGGGCATCATCCAATCTGTTGAGGGCCTGAATAGAACAAAAAGGTGGAGGACGGGCAAATTCATTCCCTCTGCTTAAGCTGAGACGTCATCCTCTCCTGCCTTTGGACACCGATGCTCCTAGTTCTCATGCCTTCAGGCTCAAGCAGAATCACACCACTGATTTTCCTGGTCCTACAGCTTGCAGACAGCAGATCAGGGGACTTCTCAGCCTCCATAACCACATGGGCCAATTCCTACAATAAGTTTCCTCTTATTTATATATCTAGATTGAGACAGAGATGTATCCTATTGTTTCTGCTTCTCTGTAAAAGCTTGGCTAATCCACTGACCATGTGACCCAGGGCAAGCTCGTTCAAGTTCACAACTCTTTGCCTCAACCTCCACATCCAAACACGGGATTTCCTCCTCACTGAGATGTCCTAGGGATAGACACCAGCAATAAACATACAACCCTTGAAATGAGGCCCCAGTGCATAACTAGTGCACAGTTATGGGTGTGAGCCACTTAAACTCTTCCCTGTCCATTCTCATCCTTCTGGCACTTGCAGTTTGCTGAACACAAAATGAGCCCATTCAGAAAAGGCCTTTCAATTGTCAGACAAGTCGCTACATCTGCTTAAAATATCTTTCCCCTTTTCTTCCCTTCACAACCCCTAAGCAATCTCTCCTTGGGATCCCCTCCTCCAAGAAGCTGTTCCAGCTGCCATATGCCTGAGGCTGTGGCGTTTGAGTTTCCATCAACCCTGGATTGCAATCAGCTGCTGGCTGACTGTTTCCTAACCAGACTGTGGGTTACTTAAGAGCAGGAATGGTCTCCTTTCTATCTCCCTGTCTCCTCCACATCTGGTCCAGTACTTGGGCAAGCGGACCCTCAATACATATTGGCTAAAGAAAGAAGGGAGGGGGGAAGGACCACACCAACCTTTGGACAAGGCACCCCAGGGTTCCCAAAATATCAAACCGCTTCATCAACAGAGGTCTTCCCAACTGGCCCTTGCACTTGGCTGATGCCCTCTGGGCACACACAGGTTCTCTCCTCCTTCCTTTTTTTTATATAATTTTTTTATTTTATTTAATTTATGATAGTCACACAGAGAGAGAGAGAGGCAGAGACACAGGCAGAGGGAGAAGCAGGCTCCATGCACCGGCAGCCCGACGTGGGATTCGATCCCGCGTTTCCAGGATCGCGCCCTGAGCCAAAGGCAGGCGCCAAACCGCTGCACCACCCAGGGATCCCTCTCTCCTCCTTCCTGACGAGACCCTCAACCCCAGAACACTCAGAGATCTGCATCTCCCTGGAGCAGCCCATCAAGAATAGCTTAGGTGGTTTTTTGTTTTGTTTTGTTTTTTAAAGATTTATTTATTTATTTATTTATTTATTTATTTATTTATTTATGATAGACACACAGAGAGAGAGGCAGAGACACAGGCAGAGGGAGAAGCAGGCTCCATACCGGGGGCCCGACACAGGACTCGATCCCGGGACTCCAAGATCATGCCCTGGGACAAAGGCAAGCACCAAACCGCTGAGCCACCCAGGGATCCTCGCTTAGGTGGTTTTTGTACTTTCTTCCAGAACTAAAATAAATATTAAAGTGTGGCTATTTTTTAAGGCATGATGTTGTCTTTCAATTAAAAAAGAGAAAACTTGATAAAATCTCCAGACCCTCTGGAGCAGGAGTGAGTTCAGGAACTACCCAAATGGGAAAAATAAGCAAACTCTCCATTGTGGCCAGTGAATTCACCAGATTGTTCAGGATTTTTTATTCAACCAACAACTCATTTTCTCTTTTTTAAGAGTAGCCTGTTTAATTCTTAGCTATGCTTTAAGTTTCCCTCCTGATTGTGCTCTGGGGTGAAAGTCTTAGACATTTGTGTTAGCTACCTCTCTATAATTCCCCTGGAAAAAAAAATGTCTTCATCTGAATGACTTCTCTGGACAGAAGGTGCCAAAAAGAACACAGTCTTAATTCTTGGGAGATGCCCCACATCTGCCCCAATACCCCACGAGGGCTGTCATGCTTCCCCAAGAAGTGCATCTCCAGGAAATGTAGAAGCTGGGTCTCCAAAGAGGAGAAATGCTTGCCATCTCCTCTGTTGGGCTGTTGGGCATGGCTGCAGGTGGCTGAACTCTCTGGGTGGGGTCAACAGGAGATGTCAGCACTGAAAGAGATGCCAAGACCTGACATGAGGATAAGGCTTGGCATTGGCACCCTGGCCAACACTTCCCAGGCACCGGTGGAGAGGTTGGTCCCCCAAACATTCGTGGTCACAGGGCATGGATGGAAGAGGACTGCAAGGCTGGATCTTCACACCACAGCACGGCCACTTGAATCCAGGTGTCTCTGCAGTCAGGAGTAGCATCAGTGATCACAACTACACCCAGCTACTGAATGCCGATCACATGCAGCAGTTCTCATCCTCTCAATACCTCACCATGGGGACACTCATTACCCCATCTCACAGAAAAGGAAACTAAGGTTTCAAAAGGGAATCTTGTGCATTTTCAGCCATCAAGTATCAGTTAGTACAGGAGCAATGGCATGCACATGACATGACATGAGGAGCCTTGTGTAATCCCCACACTGGCTCTGCCAGGGAAGGATATTAACCCACCCCACAGATGAGGAAGGGATCACCCCATTTCACACAGCTGGAAAGTGACAGCATCAAAACTCAAACCCAGGTCTGCTGAATTCCCTAGAAAGCCCACACAGTAGGCGATTGCATGGGATACCAGCTTGTAGAAAGCAAGGGAAGGGAGGTGGTGGGAAGGAGTCGCTGTCTTTGCCCCAATCTTAGACCACTGCTTACTGCCCCACTGCCTTAGGCAGAGCATCTCTCCTATCCTAAGATTGAGCTTCAGGATCCTTCCAAGACAGGACTACTTGTGAACATCATTCACGACACTCTTGCATTCCCCATGACCAGGTGGAAGTGTGACACCAACCTCACACCATCATGAAGACTGTATGAGCTTCTTGTGGCTGCATGACAAATGACAAACACTATGATAAGCTTGATGGTTTAAAACAACAGAAATTTATTATCCTGTGGTCCTGAAGGCAAGAAGTACAAAATCAAGGTATCGGCTAGGCTGTGTTCCTGCGGAAAGCTCCAGGGCAGAACCTTTCCAGTTCTCTTCCAGCTTCTGGTGGCCACTGGCATTGCCTGGCTTCTGGCTATGTTACTACAATCTCTGCCTTTGGGGCCACACTGCCTCCTTCTCCATATCTGTCTGTTTTCTCTTTTCTGTCTCTTTTAAGAATGCCTATCATTGGATTTAGGACCCACCTTAATTCAAGATGACCCTATCTTGAGATCCTTACCTTAATTACAACTGCCTGGGCCAATATTGCAAATGTGCTCACATTCTAAGGTTCCAAACAGGCATATCTTTTGAAAAGGGTTCACCACTCAACCTGCTTCAATGAATTTAATTCATTCTCTCCCCACTCCCAGCACTCAACGCAGCTACCCACTGCTCACTTAAAGGGAGGATTGTTAGTGGGAAGAGCAGGGGTTCTGGGTCCACTCAGACCTGGCTTTGAATCTCAACTCTGCCACTGCCCAGCTGCCACCTGACCTCTTCTCACACCCCTGTCTTCACCTCTCAAATGAGCAAACTCCACCTCCTCGGTTTAGGGGAATTACACAATCAAGTAAATGTAACCTGGATGGCTCTTAACAAACAGAGGACGCCCCTCATGCCCTCCTAATTTAGTAAATACCCAGCAGATCAGACTGGCATGGGGTTTTTTGAGAGGGCCACATAGCCAGCCAAGGTCTATCAGTACTGGTATTTCATAAGCAACTGCAATATTCATCTTCCAAAGACTCTGTTGATCATCACTAACTAGTATTGAGGACACACCCTACACCAACATGTGAACCCATGCACAGTTTGGAAATCTATGTGCTTGCAGGGAAACTGAGTTTGATGACTTGCCTGGTGTGTTATAGCAAGACTTGAAGCCATGGCTTTAGAAAGTATCTTCTTCAGTGTTTCTGAAGACACCTTAGCTCTCGACAGTGATACAAAAAGCCTGTCTGTTCACAGCATTCCATCTATCTAGACCTGGTGGATCTTCAGAGTACCCTTTCTCACCTGACCCTCCTATTTGCCCTTCAGAGTCAATGCAAATTTTCCCTCCACTGGCCCTCCTGT